AATTTTACACTCCTATCAATGTGAATGTTAACATGTCAATGTGAAATATTCACATTGTCAACTGGCCGTGCCGGGCCCGCCTTGGCTACGGACGGCTTGGCCGCCCATAGGGCCGCATCCCAATTTTATACTCTTATCAATGTGAATGTTAACATGTAATGTGAAATTTACATTGTCAACGGGCCGGACCGGGCCGCCCCGGGCCGCCCATGAGCGCGGGCGGGTTTCGCGCCACCCACGGGAATGGGGGCCAATTTTTACACTCCGATTAATGTGAATTTTAATTGTCAATGTGAATATTCACATTGTCAACGGGTCGGGCTCGCCCCGGCTCGCGGGCGGGTTTCGGGCCGCCCACGGCCAATTTATATTCTTACAAATGTGAATTTTAAAATATGAATGTTCACATAATTAAATGCTTAATCATTGAAAAAAATATTTATAAGGGTTTCAAAATAAATATAAGGGCATAAGTGGTCCAAAAAAATAGTGTAAATCAGAGAAAATATACTTTATGGAATAAAATATACATACATGAGACTAAATGGGTTAAAAAATTCGTTCATGAACTTCTTGGGTTAAAACACTTCTAAATTGGACTTATCAATAAAAATCTCTTAATTTAATTTATAATTTATAATTTAATTTTTTATTTAATATATAAATTTTAAATTAACAACACTAAAAAAATAATTTATAAATGTTCAAAAGACTATTTTACCCTTCTAATTGTTTATTAATTAATAGCATGGAGGGTAAAATGGAATTTCACCAATAAAATCCCATGGGATAACCAATCCCATGATTTCTATCCACACCCCCATGGAATATAATAGTCCCATATTTGTGGGACTAATAGTCCGACGTAAAATTTTTGCAAACAAACAAATGGACTTATAGTCCGGTGAGACTAATAGTCCAATCCCACACCCTTATCCCTCAAAACAAACAATGTTCAAATGAGTTGAAAATTCATTCATGACTTTTTAAGCTTAAAATATTTCTAAATGAGATTTATCAATAATTTCTCAAATTTAAATATAAGAACTAAATTGAATTAGACATAAAGATAAGACCACAAAAAATAAAATTCAAGTCAAATTGTGAAGGTAAATTTGTACAAAAATAATTCCGGTACAAGTGGAATTGAACTCATTCATCTTGGTCAACTGAGTGGTGAGGTGATAGATTTGACCCCATCTTGGTCCCCCTCTTGGTAAATATAAAGGGTGTGGCGTCTCTTTTGTGCTTAATCGGATTAGAAGATATTGTTAGGTTCGTAGAGGCTTATTATAAGTCTTATTTTAAGTAATTGAATTGTTTAATGTGTAGAACTCGTCGAATATTATATGTTTGTAAAAATCAACGTTAATCGAATATCGATAACTACTCATCAGATCAAGTTTTTATCAACCGTTTATATTTTTCATCGTTTATTGTTTTATACAAACTTGATTTGATTATGTAACTAATTGAATCGATCAATATAAATTTTTAGAGATATATAATACTTGATAAATTTTTACATATTAAACGATCAGATTAATCCGAAACGGACTAATAATAATTTTTTACAAATTTTAACATACTTTCTATTTATCACGGATGGGAAAGAACGCCAAACACCCAATAATAATATCTCTCCATGAATTAGTGGAAGCTGCAACCATCATGAAAGGCTTTAATCAGCTCTATTTTTGACGTTTTTATTCATTATTTGCCCCGTTACCACGCCG